TAAATTTATTTTAAAGAGAGAGAGAGAGAGAGAGAGAGAGAGAGAGAGAGAGAATTCTTATGTAGATTTGGTTCCCATAACAAAACCCATAATCTTTTCATACTTTAATGAGCGCTCATCCCCTCGGAGTGGTGTCTCCACTCTGACCCACTGTTAGTACACTTATATTGAGATTAGTTTTGTTCACTATTTTCTGAAACACAGACACAGAGAAGAGGGCAGTGTTTCTGTGAGCAGAAGAGCACCCAAACCTAAACCTAATTAACTGTTTGCTTGTGGTGTGTGTCAGCCCAGCGAGACTGGAGGTCTACCTACCTGTTTGGGATGAGCCAAACGCATTAGGATTTGATTTTTATTTTACCAAATAATATGCATTACTTCTAGTGTGACCACAACACATAAACCTTATTTTTCCATTTGTCGCCAATTTTACTATATTTTTATTTTAAAATTTAAAACTCAATTAATAATTTAATTAATTCTTAAAATAAAATTATGAATTAGAAATACACTGACAAATTATTGTGCTTTTTGATCTCGGTTAACTAAAATTATATTGGCGGTTCTGAACGTTGGTCAGCCTATTTATTTTTTAAAATTTAATCACTTATACATTAATTCTGGAGAGAGAGAGAGAGAGAGAGAGAGAGAGTGATTGTGGGTTAATATGTTTCACTTTTAATTTTTTGTTTTGTTATATAAATACTAATAAATTTTCTTTTTAAAAACATTGAACTGAATTAAATGAGGAATACTAAAATGAACCAGGACGCCATGGACTACTTTGCGAAATCCATACAAATAAGGCAAACCTTCGCTTTTCATATAAATAACTCCAAATGAGACGATTTATATTTTAAATAGCTTGACATGACATGTAAAACGTGAGTTTTGACTGAAATGTATTTATTTTAAGGAGGGCCTAATGAACATTAGACTACACTGGTAATTATAAAAATAATTAATATAAAATAATTTACATCTAATTAAAAAATAATCAAATTGTTTAAAAAATAAAATAGTCTACAATTTATGTCAATTAAAAAATAAAATACTTTTGTGGTCACTATAATTAGTACCTGTGCAAAATAAAGTCTATTTTTACATATAGCCTATGAATTGTATTTTTGGTATAAACCAAACCCATTATCTAAACCATTATAACCAAAACTATATTCATTTGGTCACATATATTAAACCATATAAATATCTATTAAATCCCTACAAACAGTATATAAATTGTGCAGGAATGTTTTTATTGTGAAATAATAGCCAATATATATTTGAAGCACATATTACTCCAGAATGTCGGCAAAAGTGGCTTTGATGTACACCTGTTAAGGGCACCCAAAAAAACAGTATATAAATTGTGCAGGAATGTTTTTATTGTGAAATAATAGCCAATATATATTTGAAGCACATATTACTCCAGAATGTCGGCAAAAGTGGCTTTGATGTACACCTGTTAAGGGCACCCAAAAAAAAGTTTCATATAATCCTACTTTGATAATACTATTTTTGTTATTATTATATAATATGGTTACATAGCCCCAGACCTGCACCCAGTGCTCAAACACTAATATATAAATCATTTGAATATATATTTATACGTATTTTTATGTATACTGGTCAATTAGTCACAGAATTACATAAAAGTTATAAAACAAAGTCATTTGAGATTTGAATGTAATGATAAGAAATGAATGAAAATTTCTGTGAAAATAAAATTAACGTAAAAATCAAATTTAATAGAAACTCAAAACCATTTGAATTGATTAGACTATAAAAAAATTATTAGTTTTAAGTATTGAGTGAAAAAGTGCATTAAATATATGCGTTACGATTATATCTCTCAAATGTAAAATTATCCCTGATATAAAAACCATTTTCGCATAATTTCTCGATTAGATTTGCACCGAAAGTGAGAGTGAAATATCATTTTCAGACAAAATATGATAGTTTTACGCGTGAAATATGAGTTCATTTGATGCCATTATTGAGTGTCAAATGCTTTTTAAAGCATTTTTTTCAGGAGTCGTAAGCTTTCGTCGAGTATTTTCTCCAAAATTCACTCAAATATTCGTTAATAAATTCATAACTAATGTAAAAGAGATATAAATAATAATTAATCTTAATTTAAGATCTGATGACATTTGAGACATTGAGAGATAGAGTTAGAGATTATTTTATAGTATTATAATTAATGTTGTTTTTATGTAGATGAATATTAATTTCGAGTAAAATCAATTTTAAATTAGATTTAATTTAATTTTATCCAGATCTAGTTTGATGCAAACTATTCTTTTAATTTAGCATTTTAGATTAGAAAATATTAATTAATTAATTATTTTTATGTTTAATTTAAAACTGTCGCAACTTTACTTACTCATTTGAATATTTAATTTAAATCTGATAGGGTAGTAAAAATGTCAATATTAGTAATTTATGTTTTATCAAATAAATTATATCATCAAAATAAGAATTATTCATTTACATGATATGTATTTTTTAAAATTTTATTTTTATATTGTATTTAATACTATTGATACATATGTTTAGTATATTTGCAGATTGAACATAAAAAATAATAAACATTGTGTACGGTATTCCTAAAACTTGTAGACTTTATAAAAGTTTAAAACTTAATACATTCCCATAAAACCTAACATAGAAAATTTCATATGTTAAGGGCACCCAAAAAATGTTTCATATAATCCTACTTTGATAATACTATTTTTGTTATTGTGGGTTAATATGTTTCACTTTTAATTTTTTTGTTATATAAATACTAATAAATTTTCTTTTTAAAAACATTGAACTGAATTAAATGAGGAATAATAAAATGAACCAGGACGCCATGAACTACTTTGCGAAATCCATACAAATAAGGCAAACCTTCGCTTTTCATATAAATAACTCCAAATGAGACGATTTATATTTTAAATAGCTTGGCATGACATGTAAAACGTGAGTTTTGACTGAAATGTATTTATTTTAAGGAGGGCCTAATGAACATGAGACTACACTGGTAATTATAAAAATAATTAATATAAAATAATTTACATTTAATTTAAAAATAATCAAATTGCTTAAAAAATAAAATAGTCTACAATTTATGTCAATTAAAAAATAAAATACTTTTGTGGTCACTATAATTAGTACCTGTGCAAAATAAAGTCTATTTTTACCTATAGCTTATGAATTGTATTTTCGGTATAAACCAAACCCATTATCTAAACCATTATAACCAAAACTATATTCATTTGGTCACATATATTAAACCATATAAATATCTATTAAATCCCTACAAACAGTATATAAATTGTGCAGGAATGTTTTTATTGTGAAATAATAGCCAATATATATTTGAAGCACATATTACTCCAGAATGTCGGCAAAAGTGGCTTTGATGTACACCTGTTAAGGGCACCCAAAAAATGTTTCATATAATCCTACTTTGATAATACTATTTTTGTTATTATTATATAATATGGTTACATAGCCCCAGACCTGCACCCAGTGCTCAAACACTAATATATAAATCATTTGGATATATATTTATACGTATTTTTATGTATACTGGTCAATTAGTCACAGAATTACATAAAAGTTATAAAACAAAGTCATTTGAGATTTGAATGTAATGATAAGAAATGAATGAAAATTTCTCTGAAAATAAAATTAACGTAAAAATCAAATTTAATAGAAACTCAAAACCATTTGAATTTATTAGACTATAAAAAAAATTATTAGCGAATAATTGTCATAAAATGAAAAATTATTAGTTTTAAGTATTGAGTGAAAAGTGCATTAAATATATGCGTTACGATTATATCTCTCAAATGTAAAATTATCCCTGATATAAAAACCATTTTTGCATAATTTCTCGATTAGATTTCCACCGAAAGTGAGAGTGAAATATCATTTTCAGACAAAATATGATAGTTTTACGCGTGAAATATGAGTTCATTTGATGCCATTATTGAGTGTCAAATGCTTTTTAAAGCATTTTTTCAGGAGTCGTAAGTATTTTCTCCAAAATTCACTCAAATATTCGTTAATAAATTCATAACTAATGTAAAAGAGATATAAATAATAATTAATCTTAATTTAAGATCTGATGACATTTGAGACATTGAGAGATAGAGTTAGAGATTATTTTATAGTATGTATAATTAATGTTGTTTTTATTTAGATAAATATTAATTTCGAGTAAAATCAATTTTAAATTAGATTTCATTTAATTTTATCCAGATCTAGTTTGATGCAAACTATTCTTTTAATTTAGCATTTTAGATTAGAAAATATTAATTAATTAATTATTTTTATGTTAAATTTAAAACTGTCTCAACATTACTTACTCATTTGAATATTTAATTTAAATCTGATAGGGTAGTAAAAATGTCAATATTAGTAATTTATGTTTTATCAAATAAATTATATCATCAAAATAAGAATTATTCATTATGTTACATGATGTTTATTTTTTAAATTTTTATTTTTATATTGTATTTAATACTACATGTATTTAGTATATTTGCAGATTGAACATAAAAAATAATAAACATTGTGTACGGTATTCCTAAAACTTGTAGACTTTATAAAAGTTTAAAACTTAATACATTCCCATAAAACTTAACATAGAAAATTTCATATATTCATTGATTTCACTGCTCAATGTCATAACATATTGTTTTATATTTTATTGTAATCAAAATCAGATGTTCATTATTTCATTAGAAAGCATTTTGGTATAAAAACAATTTATTCAGACAATGTGTTAATAATAACATAATTTTATCTATAACTACAACAATTATAATTTGTGACATCTGATTAAACATTACAATAAACTTAATACATTTTAAAACTGAATACAACCACATTTCTTGATGTGTACAAACTATATTATTTAAAACATTAAAAATACATTTCATAAAAATAGATAACCATAATAAAAATATTAAAATATTAAAACAATTGATTGCATCAATTATGATGGCATGTATATATATATATACTGAAAATATAGCCTAATATGTTAGGTGCATGGTAAAATAGCCTAATATGTTAGGTGCATGGTAAAATAGCCTAATGTGCATTACTTGGACGACTCCCAGATCATGAAGTGGAAGAGACCGATCTTGAAGTAGATGTAGTGGTTCTCGAAGTGGTGTATAGAAGTGCCCCAATTGATGGACGAACTCACCAAACAGTTCCACAAACTCTTGTACTTCTTCTCGAACTCATTCCTCACGAACGTCGAGAGCCTTCCCTCGGGTTCGTTGCGATACCTGTCGTGCGCCTCATTCGCCACATTAATGGCAAACTCCTTCATCCCCTCATTCATCCGCGAGTTCACTATACGCAGGGTCTTGTCCTCACGGCTTACCTGCTGGTCATATACACAATATTCTGTCAATTCGTAATCATAACAGTCATACAAATATAGCTATGAATCCACTNCGCCACATTAATGGCAAACTCCTTCATCCCCTCATTCATCCGCGAGTTCACTATACGCAGGGTCTTGTCCTCACGGCTTACCTGCTGGTCATATACACAATATTCTGTCAATTCGTAATCATAACAGTCATACAAATATAGCTATGAATCCACTATTAAAGTGGCATTTTGTTAACCATACTATAGCTACACCTCTACTGTACTCTCACTCGTTATGGCAAACCCTATCAAATCATACGCTATTTCATTGAGATTAGAGTTTTCCGTTTAACTAATAATCAGTAAATATATAATAAGACAAACATTTGTGTTATTTTGGTTGCGCTTCAATCGGTCGGCCTCTGTCTTCAGATGACTGTTCTCTCGCTGAAGACGTCTGATCTCATCATTAATGGACACAATGTTAAGCTTCATATTTGCGATACAATTGTGTCCGACGCCCACCGGTAGCGCACAGTCGGCACACTTCCGGTTGGGATTCCGTAGGCAACTGTCCTTATGATCACTCAATTCACACAATTTGAGACGCCACATTAATGGCAAACTCCTTCATCCCCTCATTCATCCGCGAGTTCACTATACGCAGGGTCTTGTCCTCACGGCTTACCTGCTGGTCATATACACAATATTCTGTCAATTCGTAATCATAACAGACATACAAATATAGCTATGAATCGACTATTAAAGTGGCATTTTGTTAACCTCCGATACCATACTATAGTTACACCTCTACTGTACTCTCACTCGTTATGGCAAACCCTATCAAATCATACGCTATTTCATTGAGATTAGAGTTTTCCGTTTAACTAATAATCAGTAAATATATATATAAAAGACAAACATTTGTGTTATTTTGGTTGCGTTTCAATCGGTCGGCCTCTGTCTTCAGGTGATTGTTCTCTCGCTGAAGACGTCTTATCTCATCATTAATGGACTCAATGTTAAGCTTCATATTTGCGATACAATTGTGTCCGACGCCCACCGGTAGCGCACAGTCGGCACACTTCCGGTTGGGATTCCGTAGGCAACTGTCCTTATGATCACTCAATTCACACAATTTGAGCACTTCTTGACACCCGGTGTCGTGAAAGTCGCACCTAATCCTCAATTTGTTCATCAAATTAATCAAAACTCTTGGCGGAGAACTCAATAGGTTTACAGTCAATGGCTTCCTATCATTAGGACAGGTCTTCTGGTTCTTCAGCCAACCGGTGATACAATCCTTGCAATAGGTTTGCCGACAACAGGGACTGAACACCGGGTTCTCAAACACATCCATACATATACCACAAATAAATTCATTGAGATCATCGGTGGATATGTCCACAAATCGTGATTTATCCAAACCAGGCATTGATTCCCAGATTATTTTAAAATAAAAATTATAATAATACTTAAAACAATGATATTTTTGTGTTCAACAGAATAAAAGTATGTATGTATTGAACACCAAATACAGTGTTTTGAAGTGCACTTTGAATACAATTTATTCACAGCATATTCTCAATGTAGTAATTAATGTCTGTATTTGTAAAACACTTTTGCAAAACTGATAATTGCTATGAGATTATTAATAGTGAACATACAGTGTGTTTGCAAATTAATTCCTAATCAAGACCTGTGAGCCAATGTGTGTGTGTTTTTGGAGTGTCTGTGCCTATGATAACGGGAAACTGTATTTCACTATTTCCTTACAATCAGTTTAACACTATTGTATCGATGAGTAAAAGTATTCATTATTCTTGTTATTTAATACAATCATTTCAATGGCCCTTATAAAGTAAACTAATTTTAAACAACATAACGATTATATTACATGATTTTAAATAAATTTTTTTAATAAATGAATGCAATATGTGGAGACAAACATATTTATAACCATATTTTAATTGTAAATATAATAAATCAAATGTTGTCATGAAATATGTTGTCATAATCATGCTCATGCTAACTGATTTACTACAATAAAAATTGATAATTTTGAATATTGAGGCAAATATTTGAATTTCAGTGGTTTGGTTATCTTATTATCAAAGAGCCTGGTACTTTTCATATATCCCGTTATTGTTTTTTCATTAAGCATTTTCCTTCAATTTATCTCAAATAATAAAAGTGTGATATCATTAATTATAAATACTGTATTACATTTAGCACAACATGATAGTGAAATACATTTATGAAAACCACAAATACCATGGATTTCCCTGTTCATCTTTAAATATCAATATAACTCACAATTAATATCTTATTGATCAATGATTTAGATACTAACAGATGATATCAATTTGTCATACATTGTGCTAAATTATAAAATTTAATTATCTATAAATTTTAATTTGTGAAATAGTATTCAATATCATTTTGAAATCATTTAAAAATACACAGCTTTATAAAATGAAATATTCATTCAATCAATTGATAGCAATATTTTGTAAACTCTATTCACATGAACCACAATATAGTTGCAAAAGTTTTGAATACTAAACCCCGAAATGAAAATATTATTCTCTTATACAAAAAAATATATAATTCTTTGATTAACCGTATTATTCGTAAAAGCGATCAATTCTTTACGGGTCGATAGGCATCGTCTGTGAGCCCCACACCTCCCGAGCGCTACAATCAAACGCACACGAAATGGGAGGGCATATGGGTTGACAACATGTCATAAGCGTCGTTGTATACGAGCGCCAGTTCCTCCATTCAATCAAAACTACTCAATACATTAGATGCCATTGATTTGTGTGTTCGCCATATAATACGCGAAAAACTTTTTTCATTTGTTTTGTTATAATTCGGTTGAAATGGAGGCAACCGTACGGTATATATAAGGGACAACTGGAGCACTACTTTTCCATTTAATTCTGGCCCTCACTCTCTCTCCCTCTCACTCCTCCTTTTCCTTTCCCTCTCAAGGGATGGACAGAGAGCTGGTGGTTGTGGAGGGGTTTGGAGTATAGTTTATGACAAGTTTTTAGAAAACGCCAAAAATCACAAACTTTTTTGTCGTTAAACTTTTAGAGCAATTAGAGAGTGAGTGAGTGAGTGAGTGAGTGAGTGAGTGAGTGTGTGTGTGTGTGTGTGTGTGTGAGAAAGAGAGAGAGAGAGAGAGAGAGAGAGATTGTCGAGAAGTTGACATTTGTGTAGATTTTAAATACTGGTGCCTTTTGCCGTCATAAAGGGACTGTTCATTTATGTTGGTCATCCCTATTCCCCATTATATTTGACTACATCTTATGATATTTTGTGGGGAGAGTTGGGAACAATTGGTTGTTCGCCTCATTTAGATAATATTTTTGATACAATGGTTAGCGGTTTATGGCAACAAAATGTTTATGCAAAAAATCTGCCAATGATTTAAATTTGCAGCGTTTAATAGAGTTGATTTAAAGTTGTGATATTTTTAAATGTTTTTTGGGTTTTTTAAAGTTTTATATTTTTTTTGATTTTGATTTTTATCATTTTTTTGGATTTTTTAATGCTGAAATTAATAACAAATAACACACGCCAAGTTGTTAATTAAGAATTTATTACTGTAAACATTTATAAGTCAAATATAAATATTATATTAATTAAATATTGTATTATATTAATATAATACAAAAGATTAAATTGAATGCAATTGGTTTGAATAACCACAATGTCAGACATATGCCAACAAATAAACACAATCATTGACAGATTAAAAACTCAATAAGACTTTCATATATTTTAACAAATATTTTCAGAAAAATTAAATTATAGTTTTTTTTGTGACAAAAGTATTTTGCAATTATTTTTATTTAATCTCAAAAATACTTTTATTACTTTTAATGTAATTTAATTATTATGTTTTTAAAATAGTTTTGTATGTTATGTGTGATAGTTTCTTAATAATTCACATATTTATTTATAAAATACATTTATTAATTGTGATATTGAGCACTATTAACACAATTTATTGTCCAGTAAGTTATCTCAGAGGTCGACCACTTCTTATCGCTGATTTCAAAGCAAATATCATATATGCCCAATCGTTCCAGAAAGACTACCTAATCTGTATTTCAGTGAAGTATCCTTTAAGTTGTAACACTCTTTAAAGGACTAGAGGTCAGTTTCATTCAATATGATGAGAGTCCAATAAAGTGTCCTTGTTTTCCATTTACAACATATACAGCTCACGACTGACTCAAACTGACCTCTAGTCCTTTAAAGAGTGTTACTACCGAAATAACACATCACTGCATTACAGATTAGGTAGTCTTTCTGGAACGATTGTATATGCCTTTCCACTCAAATCAAGTCTCTAAGGCGGCGTGCACAAAGTACGTACGCACTGGTAGGGGGGAGGGGGGTCATGCCAAAGCGTATGTCACCATGTTAAATTCCTATGTACGATGGGCGTGTAGGGGGGAGGGGGG